AACCCATCCGAAATATTCCACGAACGGGGAATTATTCAGATTGCAGCTAGGTAGAAAACATAACACTAGAAACATAGCCGTTGCATGCTGCTCACCATTCCTCAAAAACTGCCCACTTAAAAGAGATTTAAAAAGGATAAAAAGGATAAAGTCTTCGCCGTTGATCAATCCCATTGTCGGATGCGGCACGCATTCTACTTCCATTCAGAACCGTAGTGGGTTATTGAATGCGATATGGCCTATACAATGACTTGCGGTGGCCAGCCGATGTACAAGTCAGTGTTTTATCCTCCTAGACGAATCTGATACCAATTCACCGTCCCCAGAGGGTAGAAGGCTTGGTTGGCCTGGGCGGGAGTCGATCCGGGATTCGAACCCAGGACCGCGCGAATGGTGAGCGCCCCACTTGCCACTACACCATCTCCGCCTCAAAAGAGAAAAGAGATTAACCTCCCGAAAAACCCCAGGACGTTGGCAGGTCCAACAACCACGCAATGACATTTTTTCCAATGGAAGCGGTCGCAACGTTGCGATCGATAATAGCCAAGTATCGAACGATTTATTGCCGCCTGGTCATCCATTCCTTTCATTTGGCTCCTTTTTGTATTTTTCATGTTTCGCTTTGTTGTGTCGTGCAGTTTCCATAATTTCCCCGTCACCATTCACTGAATGCGCATCTGGGGCCTGACACGCTGACCTTGGGACTATTTTTCTCACCGATTTAGCTTAACAACGGTCACCATTAGTCGCTGTTTCGATTGTGTTCCTTGTTACAAGTTGCATGTCATGCATGGTTGTCGAACGACGAGTTTAATTTCAAACCCTAAGACAGAATTGTAGGTAATGCGAGGCTGTTGTTCACCTCATAATTGCATGAGGCTGAAACAGCCTATTATTGCCTGGATTTTAAAGCAGAATCCGACTTTCGCAAATCCAAATTCCATTTTAGGAAGCCATTTGGTGTGAACATTTATCTGGTTGTCAGTTAGACCAAGAGGAGAGGGGTCGTAACTAGACCCTGTTCGAAGGGGGGGGGGTGGTACCACCGCCATTTCGCACATCCCCCATGCTGTACCCTGCTCTACACATGTCCACCTCGGGAGCAGTAATCACCGTGCAGTATCGCTCGCCTGTCTTATTTGGTTAAATCGACCCTTCAGAAGGTTGAGATCATGGCAGCCCACATCTACCGAACCAGTCACCCAGCTGCGATTGGGTACGCCGTAATCGCACACCGTAACGGGACTCCTCCTGATTATTTAGGGATGCCGTCCATATTCCATGTTACCGTTCATCACAGTTGAGGAAGACATGTGATACGCCCGTCCTTTTTTCACGTGGCTAAAATTACCTTGCAGATATAATATATCTTTAAGCTGCTGGGGCTCTCGAGTGCTTCGGGGTGAATGTGACTCACAATCAAAAAACTGACGAAGTCCTTGTTTAAGTCCTTGCTGGGCGAAGCCGAATCGCGTATAACACAGCACTCTTATGACAATTTTGCGCTGCAAACCAAGTCTCCATGCATCGCAAAGTTACCATGTAGTTCTTTCCTATTTACTTGCCAGTCATGTGTGACTGCTCTGCTGACTGAATTCAAAAATTCTAGAACACTGCCAATCGTTTTGTGATCCTTACTCACTTCATGCAAATGGTGTCTCCATTGCGAACTTCAGCTTTATTTGGTATCGTTTCCCTTTTGCTCTGAAACCTATAATAATGACCCGCTATATGGCTAAAGTCCTCGTTCTGTGATGCCGTTCTCCTCCGCCCTCAGTACCAAGGACAACTTGAATCTACGGGGGAGACCGAATTTACTGCATTTGACCTGTGCTCTGTATTCCTGATCATAATGTACCCATAAAAAGATAGAGGATAAAGTCTTTGCCGTTGATCAATCCCTTTGTAGGATGCGGCACGCATTCTACTGCCATTCAGGAACTGGAAGAGAGGCTGCAGCGACAGTGAGCGGTCGCGTTCTGCTGTGGTATTCTTGGTGTATTCTTCTTGCCATTCGCTCTGCGTTCATTTTTTATGGCAAAGGGTGGAAATTCTATATTTTTTTACTGCGCGCCACTACAAACGGTAAATTTTTCACCGGTTTACGGCAGATTGATTGACTTTGATCGATTTTTTGTTGCTCTACCGTCGTCGATCTGCGCTTTCTATTTTTGCACCCTTTGCTCGATATGTTTTCTTAGTCTCCCTCCCGCTCGTCGTCTGTTCCAGTGAAGCCCTCCCGTCTCGACTCATCGCCTCGTGGAATTGGGCTTGATCGTCTGCTTGGTATTGCTGCCGATAAGGAGACGCCTCCCTACATGAAGATCATCATCGACATCTTGGATGACACGCGGCGGCAACTCATGGAACTGAGCAAACGAAACGAGGAGATTTTTGAGGAGACTCGTAGACTCAGGGAAGAGAATTCATCACTAAGAAGTCAGATTGAAAAATTATTATCATGTAAGTCGCCCAACACAGTTTCGCAGTTGAGAAATGACTGTTCTCGGGCTGCTAACGTAGAGTCTTGCCTTCCAAGTTTGAGGCTGACCCTGATTTGAAGCGTGCAATTTTGGTCTCAGGGATACCTGAGTGTGACTCAAAAACTTCTTTTGAGATGGTTAAGCATGATGTGGGCTGCATCAATTATCTTCTTGATTTTGTAGGCATTGATTGTTTTTCTAATTGTGTTTATCGTATGGGCAAACCGAATAATAATCATAGGCCGAGATTGCTTAAAGTTGTATTACCAACATTTACGTGTGGTGTAAATACGTGTGGAAGGAAGGTAAAAGGAGTAAAACCACTGAGAGAATGTTGAGTATAAGAGAAGGTATACAAGAAATAAATCAATTAAAGTATAGTGGAAGGAAGGGAATTAGTGTTGAGCACTGCTGCAAATGAGTAAACCTGTGACTAGTCTATTTATCTTTCTATAGTTATTTGCGATTGAGTACTTGTAACTTATAAATTTATTTTTATAAATACTCTTAACAATGCTAGTAATAATAAAATCTTCCTCGTAGCCATTTTTCAAAAGAGTGGTGACCATATCCGTTATTTTGCTAACGAAAGCGTTGAAGAACGAACAAGTGTTCGCTAACCTCAAAGTTTCGTATAGCTATAACAGAGGCATTTGTTGATAAGGAGATACTTTGGTCCTTATACGGCAATCTGATACACTAAAGGCCAAAATCATGCCGTTTTTATTATACAGCTTTGGTTCTAATTTTACCTGTTTAATGATATTAATTGTTAAATCTAAATAATTACTAGGACACCTCACTCCTATGAGTTCTTTTCAACTGAAGGGTATTTGATAAACTTGAGAAGTAGCTGATCCCCACGTCATCATAGTTGGTTGCTGAACAACAAGCCAATCATCCATATATCTATATGGGATGAAACAGCTTAGTTTTATTAAACTTTTTCAATTTTTGCATAGTATATTCCATGACAGAAAAAATAAAAGACGTAAGATTGCTAGGTAGTGAGAATAGATAGATTGTTGCGGACACTTTTGTCTGTTTGAACGTATTATTAGCAAAAAGACAAAAGCTGTTACGTAAAAGATAGTCAATAAAGTATATTAAATCGCTGGTTTTGTAATATCTGTAGTTTTTCTTGAGTTCTTTACCATCTGTATAGAAAACATGGTAACCATTAGTGGCAATAAAGGATCTGTTGGCATTATTGAAGCAAATGTTAAGGAGTTCCTGCATTTTCTTCAGAATAAGATCGTGCTCTAAATTTGTGAACATGTCAGTGAAATCTGCTGTGTAAATTTGGAGATTGTCGAACGTGATGTTGTGTAGTTCGTGACTTATATTAATATTACTTATAGACCAGAATGTCTTGATAGTCCTGTTACGATTCTGAATTGCTTTAGCATAATTTATGAAGTGATTTTTAAGATGTGTGAAGACTATGCGTAATTCCTGAGCCAGTGGTTTAATACTACTGCTATGTGCACCTGTGTGCACCTGTGATGTACCTGAATTTAACTGGGTTCTTATGTTCTCTCTTAACGTTTGTGTTCTTCACTTAACTGGGTTCTTATGTTGTTCACTTAACTGTTCCTCACTTAACTGGGTTCTTATGCTCTCTCTTAACGTTTGTGTTCTTCATGGCAGTTCCGGGGAACCCGTGAGGGATCTCAAGCCATCTCAAACTTCTCTGGTTTGCATCCCTGGCCATATTAGATCATTAGTGAAAAATTACATGGCACTTACTGCAACGGTCGTTAGCAAAAACTACGACCTGTACTGGTCACTGAGTCTTGGCTGAGTGCGAAAAATGGAACTGCTCCCCTTTTGTCCTCTCTAAATTTGTGTTATTCTGTGGTCAGATGTGATCGAGCCCACGAAACTGGTGGAGGAGTACTCGTTCTTCTCAGAAAAGTACCTTCTCATATAGAGTCATTTATGAGGAGTCGGTCAAGGACGCATATGAAGTTCTCATCTTTGATGTGTACTTGGCTGACAAGGTCCTGCGGCTTAAACTCATCTATCGTACCCTAGTTGCAATGCTAAAAATTCCGTCCAGCTCATTAAAGTAATTAGTGAATTTTCCTCCGTTAAGGACCCCTGCCTTGTTCTTGACGATTTTAATTTCTGATGTCGATACAGTTGTCCCATGAATGCCGAGAGGACATCTTTCACCTCAACCTGGTTTATTGAACTATTCAACTAACACGCTTTTTTGCAGATGGTGCCCTCCCCCACAAGAGGTAATTCGTATCTCGATCTGCTCTTTTCAAATCTTCCGATCTTTTCAAAATCGATCTTTCGATCTCGGTCTTGTTTGCTATATCAAAGTAGTTCCACCTGTAGGAGGCAGTGATCACTCGGCTGTTGAATTCCCTGTGAATCTCCAAGCTTTGAAGCCCCGTTTGGGCTGGAAATAGGATTTAGGTGCTGCAAACTACGACGACATTACAGGGTTATTTAAGCGGCATTGGTTGACTGGGCTCCTTCAGTAGCGTTTCTTCACTCAATGAAATGTACGAAATGCTCTTAGCAATGCTTCATCATGCTATCTCCAAGTTTGTTCCACTAGTTAAAGTAGAGTCGACCTATTCTCACGTTCCTCCTCATTTGAAAAGAATGATCAAACATCGCGAAACCCTGTGGAAGAAGGCTGTCTCCATTGGGTCAGATGATGAGTGGAACTAGTTTGAAAACCATAACAGTACTTGGATAGAAAGCTTCATAGATTTTCAGAGAGTGCGGAGAAGGAGATCATAGATTCCAGGAATCCCTCTGAGCTGTATAGATAGTTGTATAAGATCTAGGATTCAAGACAAGAAGACCATTCATGCCCGTGGATCGGGGGAATAGTATGCACCGATGAAGGGAAAGCGGAGGTTCTAGCACGACAGTTTCAGAAATCATTCGAAACTACCGCCACTGATGTCATGGAGGATGGGACAACCCCTCTTTTTCCTGTCATGCAGCCAGTAGTTTGGTTTCACAGGGAAGACATTGTTAAAATTTTGTCTCGGTGGCCTAGCTCAACTTCGATAACTCCTGATTTTCTGCCTCTGAAATTCATAAAGAAGGTGCTCCCTGTTATAAGTTATCCTCTTGAGCTTTTGTTTAACTCGTCTTTCATGCGGTCAGAGGTTCCTGTTCGTTGGAAATTATCCTTTATTATACCTATTCCTAAGAAACCTCCCCACTGTAACCCTGAGAACTACCGACCAATAGGTAGAACCTCTGTTTTTGCTAGAACCTTCGAGAAAATTCTAGAGACTTATATAATCCAACATTTGACTAGGCACAATGTGATACCCAGGTGTCAACATGGCTTTTGGCAAGGTAGATCTATCGAAACAGCTCTGCTTTCCTCTGTTAATGACTGGTCTATAGCTATGGATAGCCAAAGTCAACCCATATGCGTACTTTGATTTCGCCAAAGCATTCCATAGGGTACCCACAATAAGCTTACACAAAAAATGTCTGCTGTTGGCATTCACTCAGGGGTTCTCTCCTGGATTAGATGTTATCATCCTCTGTATATAAAGGAGAAGTTGTATGTGTGTCTGTCGAACCAATAAGGAACGTAGTGGGCGGTCCGCCGAGGCCAAGCACAAAAATCCTTAAAGGCCTACAGGTGTGTAAAGGGATTGGAAAAATAGACGAAGGTGAGAAACGGGTCGGCCATTGAAATAAGGCAGAGTCACCCGCGGAGAGGAAGGTGTACAGCGACAGGGGCAGTGCTCGCTCCAGAAACTTCATCATTGTCCCGAAACACTTGAAAGCGATCTAGAGGAAGGGGCAAACTTCCGTAAGGAAGATCTTATGTACGCTGGATGTACCAGATGTCTGCCAGGACCCACCTACAGCAGGCGGAGCGTGCCCCTTGGTAATTGTTTAGCATTCCTCAAATTTATGGTTTTGGGCGGATCGCTGTTCAAACGAGCCAGGCATCCTCACAGTGAGTTGACTCCACAGTGGAAATTCTCACTGTTATCAAGATCGTCCCAATAACATACAACCACTAACTAATGCAGATGTATACCGTCCTCTCCAACAGATTTTCAAGGCCTTAAGCGAAACTGTTCTTACAGGGATTCCGCACCCGCGGGGGTACGGTCTTCCCATCGGGTAACTTCCCTCAAAATAATCGATCTATCTGAATCTCTTCCACAACCAAAGAGTTGCTACGAACCCAGAGCTTCCTTCACAGGGAATTCCCATCAATGTAGAGAATGTTATATATAAAACTCGGAGGGCTCCCTTCTAGAGGGTATATACTAGAGATGAAACGGTAAAGTCTGATAATTTTTAAAAAAATTTTTGTTTGACAAAGGCAAAGCCGGGCGATCCGACTGACCCTCACAGGTAAACTCTGGCGCGATACCCACTTCAGGAGGACGATCTCCGAGAAGGGGATCTGAATGGTCTTGAAAATCGTACATATCAAGTGATGGTCAGGTAGTCATTTTCTTCAGTCCTTCATGCTCCTAGCGGAGTTCCTCAAGGGGTGCTCCTCCCCCCCCCTACTGTTCCTTATTTATACTTATGATCTCCTGTCTGGCATGATCTCCCGTCTTTCTCCCCTTGGTGTTGTGTTACCTGCTCTATGTATGCTGACGACAGTAAGATTTACACGACTACATGTAGCACTGAAAGTACTGTGGCTCTACAAAAAGCAATTGACATGTTTTTAACTAGTCTTGTACTTGAGAGCTTCCCCTGGCTCTCGAAAAGACTGCTGATTTGCGTTGACAAGCTGTAGGAGCTCCACATCTTATACTTACACTATTAATGGGGTTCCTCTCAGAAGTGTTAGTGAAACTAGAGACTTAGGTTCTGTGATAAATGATAAGTTATCATTTGAAAACCATATTAAGAAAATTGAAAGAAATGCTAATTTTAGGATATACAATCTTTTCAAAGCTCTTCGCACGAGAAATTGTGATATTCTCCTTCGAGCCTCCAAAACTTATGTGCGCCCTATCGTTGAAAATGGGACCACGGTTTTCTCCCCATACAAAGGATAAAGAATTAATGGAGAGTGTCCAGAACAATTTCACGCGAAAGCTTGTTTTGCGCTGCAGTGGTCTTACTTATAGGCTCATACCCGGGAGCGCGGAAAGAAGAATGCAGGTTGGTCTGCCCACTTTGAGCAGTCGACGAAAAAAATTTGATCTAATCATGGCTTTTAAGAATCTCACTGGTAGGAGTGGTCTCATCTCATCTGACTTTTTTAACTTTCCCCCTCCAACACAAGGGGAGGTAGTCTCAAACTAAAGCCTTCAGTAGCCAGCACACAAGTCAGGTTCCACATGTTTTCAAACAGAGTGCCTGCGGACTTTAATAAACTCCTTAGGCAGAATGTTCTCAAAAACTCGCTCTCTGCGTTCAAAAGGTTGGCCGCTCTGCAATCTAATTCAGGGGTTTCTCAAATTACAGGAAACTTCTTGAATTATTAGAGATTGTGTTCACACTCATAATTCAGTGCATTCTCTTCATTTCTTATGGGTCGCAGTTATTATTACTTTTATTTATGCTCCCTTTCGAATGTGTTTTTCTTTACTTTTCTTTGTTCCCCTTACGCCTTTCAGTTGTTGCTGTTGTTTTTTTTTTCATATAAGCGCGAACCTTGTTCGCGTACTCAGATAAAGATAAAGATTCAGAGTCATGTGGATTATTGAATGCGATGTGGCCTATACAATGGCCTTCGGGGGTCAGCCGATGTTCATGTCAGTGTTCTTATCCTCCCAGACGAATCTAGTACCAGTTTACCGTCCCCTGAGGAAAGAATGCTTAGTTGGCCTGAGCTGGAGTTGATCCGGGATTTAAACCCAGGACCGCGCGAGTGACGAGCGCACCTTTTGTCACTATACCATCTCCTGCCCGATGTACCCACAACATGTGGTTATTTACTCGCCTTTTATTAATGCAGCACAAAATGGTTCTCTGAATTAGTGTTCATCTCTTACCATTAGATGACTTTCTTAGCCCTTGATGATCATGTTGCTTTGCAGGGAAGAGCACTAGCAATCGGAGATGGGGCCAACGATGTACCAATGATACAGGCAGCACATGTAGGGATTGGAATCGTTGGTAAGGAGGGCATGCAGGTAAGAAGGCCAAGTGCTATAGGCTCGGAACTGTTCATACTTGCTTTCTTGTTACCGTGAGTTTTTTTATTGCGGGGGAACCTTCTAGAGAATACACCAGAAGCAGGTTTCGGCGTCCATTCGTGAGTGTTGGTTAAAGTAGGAATGTCAAGGTTCAAAGATCAGCAATAAGAAAAATTGCAGAAAAACTGTCGAAAGCGTCCCATATAAAACCGCTCGAAGAAAAACTGTACACTCGACTCTAAAAACCCTGGCTTGTGTTACTTGAATTCTCCTGGCTCTGCAACTGCAGAGCCGTGCCACTTCCCTCGATCAAAGTGCTCAGCAACGGTAACGGAGATAGTGATACCGGGATAGTGATATCGGGTGCCGTAGCCTCCAAGCACTGTCACACCGTCCGCCCCACGTTTAACCGTAGCCGAACACTCTGCTTGTCTGCACCGTCCCCGTTCTGGTTCTCCTAGCCGCTTAATGCCTGTTTGGTTGCGGGATCTCAGCATCGACGCAAGTGCTGCAAACTGTTGATACGGCGTGCGAAGTAGGAGACAGCATCCTTGTAGCGCTACCCTGCAGCCTCTTCCCCGTGCATTTTTGAGTGGAGAAAGTAGCACGCTATCCCGGCTCAATCCATTCTCGCTGCACATAGCATGAACCAAGATCCACGGAGGTGAGTGTACAGCTTGTCAATAACTCCTCCAGGACAATTCTATCGAAGTTCGAAGGACGCAGGGCACAGAGCCGTTCGAGTCCGTACGATTTCCCCACCCCCTGTTTCCCCCCTCATCTAGCTATTCTCCAGGGGAGGGGGGATAGCACACATGAAACGGGAATGGGATGACCCAAGATCCCCTCTACACCATCTTTAGATTTGCCAAACCTCCCACCACTTTTTCCGAATTTCCCGAAAAATTTTCTACTTTCACCCAAAGATTTTGCTGTCGTGCGAGGTGGGTGGTGTTATACTGTACTGTTATACTTGTACTTATAACGAAGGAAAAATCACGAAAAGTCAGCAATCTCCCTCAGAAGGTCAGAAGACTACGGACCCGTTCCTCCCGCTCCCAGCAACGAGCCAATACGACCCCACCTCCTTTACAATGTCCCTGAAATAAGAAAATCAGCTATCAAAAAAACTCTCCTCAGTCCAATCACGACCCCCTGTTGGGGATCTTCAACCTTCTGCCTTGGCGGGACATCCTTTGGGTAAAACGGTTTTCTTCGCACAAATCCTGGCTTTCGGAACTGGAGGCAACTTTTCTTGAGGGGGCCCCAGTGGAAGTTATGTGCATGATTTACATAAAGAATCCAGCTCTCGTTGTCAGCCGCATTTCATTAGAACTTTATGGAGGGGAACTTCGTGAAAACGGAAATTGTGGAGGAGATTAACAGTTATCATGTAAGTGCAGCCTAAATTGTTGCCAACCTACTACAGGCTACGTTCCGCTGCTTCTCTAGGATGTGGAAAAAGCCGATCATTCGTTCCAGTGTCTGAGCGATACTTACGTACCTTCAGATAAATTATCTCCAGCATCAAAGCGCTGATACCAACAGCTGATACTGTGGCATGACAAGCGACTATGATCTATTACAACTCCAGTTCAACTTTGGCTGGCGCACTCTGCTGCGCGCCTGACGTGATAAAACAATGTGAAGCGATCTACTCGAGTGAACCACGATTGATGCCAATTTCTTTTGTTTGGAATCATGAGTAACCCAACAAAAAATGCTAGAAAGAGTGGGGTCATCAAAAACAGCAACAGAACGAATGTTGGCCGGCGCACACTGTCCATTCATCACAAGGGATTCCTACAGAATTTACCACCGACGGCCTATCCTCGCAATGTACCTTTGACCTCAATGACGCTGACTCTCCTGCAGAGCTGAAGCAATCCACCCCTCCTTGAATATCATTTTTGTCCAAAACGCAACAGGGAGCGTCTTTAACGCTCAACTTTTCTGATTGGAGATTTTTCATTTTCCTCATTTCACGCACATTATGTGCCCACTCCTTCTCGACATGTTGGATGTATACTGGTGAGGACTGAAGTGAGGATAACCTCTTATCTCGTCTTATCAACTGACAACGACAACGCCTGTCACCTGTCACCTGTGAAAAGTGCAGTCTTGAAGAAGAATGACGGCGGCTGCAAGGCATAGTACCGTTGTGCGCAACCCATCGGGGAGTCGTACTTGGCCGCTACGGGGATCGTAAACGCGTGGTTGGTGAGCGCCAAATAGCACAACGGCGTCATCCAAGTTTGACGGAGGGGACGGAAAGCTACAGAGGACAAGGATATAAGGAAGACTACAAAATATTAAAACAACCAGTCTGGCTGGCGCACACGCCCATCATATGACCCCCTCCCCCGCTCGACATGCAGTGAAGGGATAAGTTCACAATATTTAGAATACACTAAGCTTGCTGCCCCTCATACTTAGAAGTAGAGTGATAAGGAATGTAGGTATGATAATATTTTGTTTCTTTGATACAACAGCCTATCACCCTGCCGCCAGTGTCCACATTACTAAACAGTTACGATTTGGTAGGATGGAAGACGCTCAACTATGAAGAAAAATGACGTCAGCAACGTCGTTTATCAACCGCTATCAGTTGCTATACCCCGATCAGCATTATCCCAGTCACATCTCCCATATTACCTGTTGGAACTAGCTTCCAATTTTCCCTGTGACGGGAGCTGTGGATCAGGCGACGCCTGAGTTCTAATTCTTCTTATCAGATCTCAACAGTTCCTAAAACGCCCTGCAACCCAACAATGGTCTCCCTGTCCCATAGCCTACATCATACCTTGGAACTAAGGTCGCACAGTCGCTGGGACCGCGCTATATATTTGAAGACCCTCCCCTAGTGGTGCTCTCTATTTGATCTTATCAACTGTTATCTTTTTCTGTCACCCAAAAATGATATTCCCGTTGTACCCTCTACATAGCTTTCGAGAACTAACGTCCATTGTCACTGTAGCGCGCAAAAATCACCTCAAATCAAAGTCCTTCCACTCACCTTTGCGTAGAAGCGTAATGCACGGGGCCAAATCGATCAATGATAACCGCTGGTGCTTTGACTCAGTTTCAAATATGTGTTTGAAGTCCTGTTGAAATTCGCGAATGAGTATCCTTCCAATGGCACTGAGGGAGTCGAGCTTGAGTGGCGCAGAATGTCGTCCAAGTGTGACCCATCTGAAATATGTTTTAGATTAGTGGGTTTTTCAGGAAGTCTGAAGAGCTTCCTAGAAAGAGGGACTAATGGGCGTTCTGATGACGTTTTCATTTTTCCAAAAGATTATGATTGAGAGAGGTTATTCTCTTTTGAAGCACCCGCTCACGATTTACCACTGACGCGTCCGTAATCATCTGAAATATTTCAAATGGAGGAAGTTTCAGATTCCGAGTAGGTAGAATAATGCTTCAATATGCCGCCTCTCTTTTCTGAAAGCCCCGCACCTAAAAAAGCTATCACCCTCAGAAAAAGCTCCGTGATTTAAACTCTGCCAACTGATCTGCTCCACCGCTGATTTGCCATAGAGTCGTAACGCGGACAAAAGCGCCTGCGAGTCGCTACGCATCTAATCCTTCTCATCGGAGCAAACAATTAGAGCCGGAGAGGGGGTAGGAGTCGTACCAGAATCCCCTTCCAGGGAGGGTCGTACTGACACCGCCATTTCACACATCACGATGCTGTATCCTGGGCGGCAGTGCCCCTCCCTATATCACTCGTTGGAACCAAGTTTCTACGGTTGCTGTGACGGGCTTGACGAGTCGGTCGGCGCTCAGATCGATTCCCCTTGTTGGACCTTATCATTTTTTAGCACATTCTGCCACCTACCAACAATGTTCCTGTCCCTTACCCTATATATTATCCTAGAACCAAAGTCGCACCACGTCGAAGCGGCGCTATGAATTTCGTGATCCTGCCTTTCTAGCGCTCCTTGTCAGCTTCTATCGGTCACTTTCTGTCACCCGCCATGTTCCACTTGCACCCACTCCATCACTTATCAATTTGCACTCTGTGGGCCAATCAGAGAAATAATGAGTTTTCCGGTCAAACACACACACACACACACACACACACACACACACACACACACACACACACACACACACACACCACATCACACACACACACACACACACACACACACACACACACCAACAGTCAAACTCGAGCGGATTATATACAGTGGGATCTTTACATTTGCTGAATTGACGGAAACTTCATTTCAGGCAGCAATGGCATGCGATTTCGCGATTGCACGTTTTCATTTTCTTCGGCGACTGCTTTTGGTGCATGGACACTGGTGCTATGACCGCCTGTCGCTAATGTTCTTATATTTCCTATACAAAAATACGGTATATTCATTTACGAGAATTTTTATTTCCTAAACGGGAAAGTATGCAGAGCTGGCGTTATTTCTTCCGGAGATGAATGAGGAATTTTTGTAAGTTCCTATCAAAATACCGGGAGATCAGTGGCAGCTTTTTTTTCGCGAGGCGAAAGCATTTTGACACCGATTTGAATTCACCAACGATGCAAGTGCACTGTTGTAAGGCAGCGTTCAGACTCGTCGCACTGTAACGCGCTACAGTTACATCCCAGGGTTGTTATTGGTCATCTTATTGGAGGTGATTTTCTTTCAGTTGCTGTGTTTTGTTGTATCAGACCGATCTGCAATTCCAGTCGCCTGCTCTTTCCAAACGCCAATAAAGACAGTAACAGCCGTTTATGTCATCTACGCTCTGGAACGCCAAAAACGTACGCTGTACGGTTTCGGAAGATAAGAATCTCTCGCCTGAGACACACTTCGAATCTGGCCCAAGGGCTTTTGAGTGTGTTGAGTAAGCATCCACAGTTTCTTTACCGTCCCTCGCAGTCGCTGTTCTCATAACAAAAGCGGTAAATGAAATTCATCATTTCCGAAACACTTCGCTATATGAATCTCTACCAAGCCGGAACGTGAGGCTTTTGAGTGTGTTGAGTGAGCATCCACAGTTTCTTTACCGTCCCTCGCAGTCGCTGTTCTCATAACAAAAGCGGTAAATGAAATTCATCATTTCCGAAACACTTCGCTATATGAATCTCTACCATGCCGGAACGTGACTGGAGCCACAAATGGCATTTCTCTGAGTAGGGTCCTGATGCTACCTTACATGGTTTGGCGTTAAAATGGCCCGATCGCTTTCGCTCATGCCCTCTTCTACCTGGAAGACAAACGTCGTCCAGGTGGCCCACCTGCCTTGGATTTGGACTAACTATGTTTCTTGATTGAAACCAGTTCGTACAAATCAACTTGCTCTTGACTTGCAAATTTTTTTGCATGAATTGACCGATATTCCAGGGGGAGCTCTTGTGGGTACTGTCAACAACTTCTCTCGCGCTCCCGCTATACAGACTGGTCGAACAACGACTGTGAGTGGGTAAGGAGTAGGTGTCTCTACAGGGGGCCAATAAAAAAAGACACGTTTCTTCCACTACTTTCGGCACTATAGTATATATATAATATATATATATATATATATATATATATATAATACTATATATATATATATATTAGTATATATATATATATTATATATAATATATAATATATATATATATAATAATATATATAATATATATAATATATATATATATAATATATATTATATATATATATATATATATATATATTATACCATTTTCACTTTTAAAATCGCCTTCTCGAACCAAATTTCGTCCTTTTTTTCAAAATCAAAATTCCTCCTTTTTCAAACCAAATTCACGGCTCTACTCTTCATCAGACACTACACTTATTAGGGCGCAACTCATCAACCACATCCCCAGACATCACTGCGACCGCGCCCCGAAGAGTGAGAGTGAATTTTGTTTGAAAAAGGACGATTATGGTTTAAAAAAAGGAACCGAATTTGATTGAAAAAGGACCGAATTTGGATTGAAAAAAGGAACGAATTTGGTTTGAAAAAGGACGCATTTGGTTGTTGAAGAATGAGGAAGAATTGTGGTTTGACAAAGGGCGAATTTAAGGTGAAATGGTATATATATATATATAATATAATATATATATATATAATATTATATATTATATATAATATATAATAATATATTATATATAATATATAGATATATATATATATATATATATATATAATATAATATATATATATATATATATAATATAATATATATATAGTATATATATATATTATACCTTGAAGTACCTTGATGTCCCTCTTCAAGTTGGTTACGCCATCCTTGCAGGACGACATCTATGCATTCATCACGATTTCTTGCCATTTTTGGCCATCTCTGTCCATATTAGTTTTCTTAAAAGGATTCAACTCCACTGGCTGGGGTCTTCCAACTGTGGCCTTTTTACAACCACGAGGATAACCAGTTGGTTACGCGATATGTCCATCGTTGTCGTCAAGACGAGCCTACGTGTCCAGCCCATCTCTTTTTGAGTCATAAATGGTTTTCGATAACATCCTTTACGCGCCCGTCCGTCTTCGATTTCGCGAGCCAGAGGATCTGTGCATTAGCGTTACTCGACACATGCTCGCTCCATGCCCTTTGCGCTAGCAGCTAGTCCTTCTCTCCTCCTCTTGATTGTGGGCTCCATGTCTCAGCTTCCATATACCGAGGGGAGAACATGGGTGTTGAACACCTGAGACTTATTCGTAGGTGTTCAATCCGTATATCGTGAGAAACAATCTCGGTATTTGTTGTTAAAACATTGGCCCATCCCGCCTTTCGAACGCCGACTGATTTCTCTTGAGGTAAGGTCATTATTCCTCGTTATTGCTTGCCAAAGATAACGTGAACGATGAGACCTTCTCAATGATTGATCCCTTTCATGCATAGAAACGATAGTCGTTGTATAGTTGTTTTTCATATATCCCTTTGGTTTTACCGCGATGTATTACAAGTCCAACGGATTGGGAGGCTCGCTCAAAATATTGAGGCGAGCTGTTCGAGTGGCACTCAGTTCGCTTCCAATGCAAGACTAATGTCGTCTGCAAACATCAAGTATTGAAGTCTTTTCGCCATCCTAAATCTCAATGGCCACAAGGCAGCTCTATTTGGCCGCATTACAAGTTTAAGCTGCCAGAGAATAGTTTGGAGATATGACCTCGCCTTGCCGTACGCCACGTTGGATACTTTAACACGAACTGGTTCTTGAGCATTTTATGTCAGTGTACAGTGATCGTGTTAGCATTGTCGTATTATTCAATATATTCTTCTTGAAATTCCGTAACGTGGCCAGGTGCGTTTAGTACCCGCTTGGTGTTCGACCGAGTATCTAAATGCTTTTTGAAGTCACAAAAAGATAACATTAGGCGGGATTCGTAACTCTCGTACATCTTTCGTAAGTTGAGAAAATCACGTGTAGCTATGCGGATGGTTGAGAAAGCCTTCACGAATACCGCTTGTTCTCTTCTCGTATTTGATATTGAGTGTCCACGTATGCGGTTGAGGATGATACGTGAGAAGATTTTGGAAGTGTTGTGGACAGGAGCGCTTATAGGATCGATCGTTGGCAAGTGTCCACGCGCGTCCTTTTTTGGGATCAAATGGTGTTCGAGCCCAGCCCATGCCTTTGGTACAGTCCCAGCCGCCAGCATTTCCAGTGAAAAATGTCTGCCAAAGGGCGGGCGATGGAACTCCTTCAGACATCCTCATGGTGTCTCGGCGCTAGAATTACGATCTCGGCGCGGCGCTCTTCCTCCTTCGTTTGCTGAATAGCCTTCAATACTTCCGTCTTCAAGTAGCTTTCCACTCATCTCTTGCAAGTGTGTCATCGTCGTCCTCACAAAAATATTATCATGTTAGGGTTGCACCAGCACTTCTTATGGAGAAGAGGTCTGGAAAAAGTTCGAATTTCTCCTTCCATTCCTTTTATTCCTGACAACAGAGCCATCTTCTTTTGTGAGATATTCAGGAGTAATGGTTTTGGTCGAGTTGTTGATGAATGTTCTTGTTGAATGCTCAGTACTTTTCAGCTCCGCTTCTCTTGGCCTTACGTTGCGGCATATGTCACGGATTATTCTTTCTTCACTCTATAGTGGCGTAAGCCTTGTTTTATTAGAAGTTCTAGCCACAGGAGTCATAGTTTTTTCCCAATTCTTTCCGAGTGGCCAACATTTGCAGTGTAGTAGCACTTATCGTTCCCGAGGTCTGCTCGAACCGCGCTCTGAAGCATTTTTACTACATCCGAAAGTAGATAATCAACTTTTTCGTACGTGCTAGTGGAAACATTTCCCTGTCGGAAGAAAAAGTTTGTCGTGGTAAGCGAGCGCTTTTAGTCGTTCTTGCAAGAGAGCACGATAGAGCACCGTTGCGAATAGTATGCAGCGGCTAATCGTTCCGGCGCGCGAGCTTTACTTGCTGGAGCTCGTGGCTTCGAACTCAACGGTGGTCCGATCCAATATTAAAATGGGCGATTCTCCGATCACTGTAACATTGTGAAAGAGGCGCAAGGCAGTTGGTTAAGAAAGAAGTGCGATTATCGTGGAACATCGCTGCCTGATTCGGGTAATGGTATGTCCATGCGACGTCCTTACACGCTTTGGAATATGAGTTTCGCCACTGATAATCGACTATCGTTCGGTGAAGTTGTCTAAAGCTCTCCTCTGCTGTTTCTTCAGGTCATCCGTATGCCGGCTATCTAGGATTCATCAGGTTCTTCCGCATCCTAAGTGGGCATTGAAGTCTCCAGCGCCTAACCACATATGTTTCCTTGTTGGAGTAGTGGTAATTTGCATGTTTCGAACGTGCGTCCGTATGAACCTTTTCTACGTTCACTTCGATGCACTGGGGGCATAAGACCGACAGGTATTTTCAGCGTCTTCTTTCGACGTAGTCGAGCATTAGAATCGCAATCTTTCAAGACACTAATTGGTTGTGGCTGGTCGTACTTCGCATAGCAATCCTTGCAGTAAGACGTGGCGATACAATGAATCCGATCCGCTCCGACTTTCCGTTTCTAGAGCCAGCCTCCTCGGATCAACTTCATGTCCAAGGTGTGCCAGTCCATCTTCCTGCATTGCATCTTAACGTTTCTTGGACACATGCTGAGCTCAAACGCACATTCTATCCATTTCAGATACAAGCTGATCGACACATCAGTCGTTAACGGAAGGACCTCGAGCGTTATTAGTCCGATGTTTAGGGAAACTGTTTGGCAGATCGCTTCTCGTGAGATTTCTCCCCTTGCCTTTGCCCTCTCTGCCAGGAAGGGCGGTGGCGCGCACGGGACTGAAGTACATCTTCTTGAACTTCATCATAGATGTTGATGCCTTGGACTTACCCGCTCAGGGCCGCCTACCATAGACTGGCGTGTAGTACCGCTGGCCGGTGCGTAATCTGTCCAAGGGGAGGCGACCGAGTTTTAGGCCTCACTAAACGCGTCGGACTTGTTCCGGCAACAACAACGGGGAAAGTAACATTGAGTGAGTTTACAACAATCCGCACACTTTGAGGTAACGGGGCGCTAGGGATCGGATTATATATCTATATATATACTATATAATATTTATTTATAAAAATTTAAAATATCATATATATAATATATTATATATATTATATATAATATATATATATATATATATATATTATATTATAATATATATATATATATAATACTATATATATATATATATATATATATATACTATATATATATATATATATATATATATAATATATATTATATATATATATAGGTTGGAAAAGAAAAGTCCTGTCAACTTATGTGATTTTTTTCTTTTTTATTTTCTAACTC